GAAGGGATGGGGGAAACTTTATTTCATTTTCCTCAAAAAGAAGGGCAAGAATAGCTATGCCCATGCCAGGCTGTGTAGGACAGGCATCGGCAGTGTGCTGTTCCTTGGGTGCCAGTCAGGGGGTGTCAGCCTTCGGGGTCCCCCAGCTGACAAACACCCAGGCAGGGTGGCTGCAGCCTGAGTGCTGAGGCATATGGATCCTATGCCTGTGGATCAGCGTGCAGGGTTTGTGTGGGATGCAGGCTGCCTGGGAGATCCCCTGCAGCCAGCCCTGGCCTCTGACAGGCTCCACAGCTTCACATATGTGCCTGGGTCTGGGTCCCATCAGAACACATGGGGGACATCAGCCTGATGCCTCCTGGTAGTCAGAGGCACTCAGGAGAATGCTGCTCAGTGCTGATCCCCTTCCCAGCTCCTGCAGCAACTCTGGCCTCTGCTCCCTGCATCATTGTAATGGGTGTAAATGGAAACAGAAGAAATATAAATTAGATCCTAGGAAGAAGTTTTTCCTGTGAGGGTTGTGCAGGTTGCCCAGGGAGACTATGGCTACCCCAAGCCTGGCAGTGTTCACAGCCAGGTTGGCTAAAGACTTGAGCAACCTGCTCTGGTGGGAGGTGTCCCTGCCCAGGGCAGGGGTTGGGGCTGGATGGTCTCTAAGGTCCATTCCAACCCCTTAACATACTATGATACCCGTTCCTCTCTGGGCCATGAACATTTCAGCCCTACAGAAAACCAGATGTCCCACCTGGGTGGAGAGGGCTCATGATGGAGATGTCCCTCTCTTCTCCCTGCAGATGTATGGGAAGTGGTATGACATTGCCATCGGCACAACCTGCAAGTGGATGAAGAACTACAAGGAGAAGTTCAGCATGGGCACACTGGTGCTGGGCCCTGGCCCCACTGATGACCAGATCAGCACTGCCAGCACCAGACTGCGGTATGAGGCGCTGCTGGGGGTGCTTGAGCCCCCTCAAAGCCACCCCACCCAGGGGTGCTTCATCTCCCAGGGGCTGAGACATGGGGGTTGCTTACTCTGGTAATCAGAGCCCAGAGGAGGGGCTGGATTGGACTTAAATACCCAATGCCTTGGTCAGGAAGATTTTGAGCATCCTGTGCCATGGTCTTGGTGCACCAGGCATGATTTTTGTGCAGTAACCAAGAAAAATGATCTCTCTGAGCAGCTGTTTGTTTTCCTCCTCCCTCCAGGCAAGGTGACTGCACACAGGTCTCAGGAGAGTACCAGAAAACCAGCACCCCTGGCAAATACACCTACTACAACCCCAGTGAGTTGGTCTGTGGTGTGACTGGGTGATGGGGACCAGTCCTGGGCACGGCTGGTGGATGAGGAAGGGATTCAGGAGAGCAGGACTCAGAGGCCACTCTGGGTCATTCCAGCCAAAGTATGGAGTGAAGTTGGAGGGAAAGGGCTGTTTCAGCACTTTCCCTGCATAGGCACAGGTTCTTCTAAGGTTCCAGGATAGGGCAGCTCCCACCAGCCACACCTCAGAAGCATTGGTGGTACCTCAGTTGTCCACAGCCCTCAGTTTCCAATCCCCTCAGCCAAGAGGCTGGTAAGCCTAAAGGGAGTCAGGGTTGTATCTGAGTCTGCTTCCCAAAAGTCGGCTGTTTTCTTGTATTAGGTGCCTGATTTCAGTTCCCAGCTCTGGTGCTGTCCTACACTGCTCCATCTCTCCCTGAGGGGCAGGAATGATGTCCCCTGTGTCTCTCTCGCAGAATGGGATGTGTCTATTCAGTCCTATGTGCTCCGCACCAACTACGAGGAATACGCTGTCATTCTCATGAAGAAGAAAAGCAGTTTTGGCCCATCCACCACCCTGAAGCTGTATGGTATGTCTGGCCATAGCACTTAGGAGCAAACAGGCTCTGGGGTGGGCCAGTGCAGCTCAGAAATACCACCCAAGGGTCCCTCAGGTCCCTTGGCCTTGAGGGATCTGACTGTGGCTTTGGAAGTGGTGCCTTGGACCAGCTCATCTTTGGCACAGCGGAGATTGAGTCTCGTGACTCCGTTAGAGCCACATCCACCAAACCAGCCTGGTATTTGGGATGGAGGTAATGATATCTGCTTGGAGGAAAGCCAGGCCCTGAAGTTGCAGGAAATGCTGTATTCCATAATTGAGAAACATTAAACCCACTTTGTCCAAGCCCTTGGTCAAGAACATCAGGCTGCCCAGGAAAGTGGTGGAATCACTGTCCCTGGAAATGTTCCAAAATCATGTAGATGTGGTGCTTAGGGACATGGTTTAGTGATGGACTTGAAAGTATTAACGATTGGACTCAAAGATCTTTGATTCTCTGGTTCTGTTGGGAAGGACCAGGAGGTACTGGACCTGCCTGCAGCCACCTGAGCTCTGTGGGTTGGTGGGTGATTGAGGCTGCACGTAGGCCCCCTCCCACACCAGCCCTGCTCATAGCCCCTTTCCTTCCCAGGGAGGAGTCCGGAGCTGCGGGAGGACCTCATTGAGTCTTTCCAGCAGCTGGCTCTGGAGATGGGCATCCCTGAAGAATCCCTCTTCATCCTAGCCAACAGAGGTAACCTGTGGGGCACATTCCTCGCCTGCTGCTGGAGCACTCCAGCTGCTCCTTCCTGGTGTGCCAGGCTGAGAAGATGGGGGATG